TAGAAACTTTCCTCTTCTACTAGGCTATCTACCTTCATATTTCTATTCAACACTGTATTCAAGAGTACAGAGCATTTCAATAAACAAGACATCAAAGTTGAAATTGAAGAATTAAAACTACATGACATTACTGTACATAAGAAAATCTAAAAGAATCTATGAATAAACTATTAGAATTAATGTCTGAATTACCAGATATAAAATAGAGAAATCCGTTGTGCTTTTATTAGCAATGAACTACTAGAAATTAATTTTTTTTTTGAGATTTTATTTATTCAGGGGCACCTGGATGGCTCAGGTGGTTAAGCCTCTGCTTTGGCTTGGGTCATGACCCCAGGATCCTGGGATGGAGTCCCTTAACAGGCTCCTTGCTCAGCGGGGAGTCTGCTCCACCTCTCCCTCTAGCCCTCCCCTTGCTTGTGCTCATGCACTCTCTCTCTCTCTCTCTCTCTAGCACACACGCTCTCTCAAACAAACAAATAAATATCTTAAAACAAATAGATAATATCTTTTAAAAAAATCACAGATCTAAACATAAAAGGTAGGGGGCACCTGCCTGGCTCAGTCAGTGAAGCATGCTACTCTTAATCTCAGGTTTGTGAGTTTAAGCCCCACATTGGATGTGGAGTCTACATAAAATTTTAAAAAACGAAGAAAGAAAATAAATGTAAACTTTAAACATTTGGAAGACAAAATAGGAGAAAATCTGTGTGACCTTGGGTTAGGCAAAGAGTTATTATGTTCACAAAAGCACAATCCATATGAGAAAAAAGTCAATGAACTGGACTTCATCAAAATCAAGAGCTTCTACCCTTCAAAAGATACTATTAAGAGAAAAAAGAAGCCAAAGACCAGGAGAAAATATCTGGAAACCACATACCTGGTAAAGAACTTATAACCAGAATACATAAAGAATCCTCAACTCTTACCAATAAGCAAACAAACAACCCAGTCTAAAAATGGCCAAAAGATCTGAACACCCATCACCAAACAAGATATACAAATGGCAAATAAGCACATGAAAAGGTGGTCAACATCATTAATTATTAGGGAGATGTTAATTAAAACCACAGTGAGGGACTGCCTGGGTGGCTCAGCTGGTTAAGTGTCTGCCTTTGGCTCAGGTCACCTGGGTACCTGGGATTGTACTGGAGTCAGCTCAGCAAAGAGTCTGCTTCTCTCTTTCTCTCTTTCTCTCTCCCTCTGCCCCAGCCTACCACCCCACTTTGCTCATGCTTGGCCGTGCATGCGCTCTCACTCTCCCTCTCTCTCTCAAATAAATAAAATCTTAAAAACATAAATAGGGACGCCTGGGTGGCTCAGTTAGTTACCCCATCAGGCTCCCTGCTCAGCAGGAGCTGCTTCTCCCCCTGCCTGCCACTCCCCCGGCTAGCACGGCATTCTCTCTCTCTCTCTCTCTCTGACTGACAAACAGATAAATAAAATCACAATGAGAAACAAGTACCGCTAACACCAAAAACAGCCTAACATGATGATAGACATCAGAATAGTGAAAGCTTTAGGAAGGAATGGGAGTGAGGGGAGTACACAAAGGGGCTTCTTCTATGACACTAACAATGTTTGATTTCTTGATCAGTCTGGTGAGTTACACAAGGGTGTTCATTTTATAAATGCTATATACTTAATGACCATTTTTCCATACGTACATCACACTACATTTAGTAACTACACATTAAAAAAGAAAGTAACTTCCCTTAAAAGACTCCACATGTAGGTGGCTTCACCAGCAAATTCTACCAAACATTTAAGGAAGAAACACTAATCATTAATAAACTCTTTCAAAAAAATACATTCGGGGCACCTGGGTGGCTCAGTGGGTTAAGCCGCTGCCTTCGGCTCAGGTCATGATCTCAAGGGTCTTGGGATCGAGCCCCGCATCGGGCTCTCTGCTCAGCAGGGAGCCTGCTTCCTCCTCTCTCTCTGCCTGCCTCTCTGCCTGCTTGTGATCTCTGTCTGTCAAATAAATAAATAAAATCTTTAAAAAAAAAAAATACATTCTCATTTAATGATGTCAGCATAACCTGTTACTAAAACTTGACAAGAACACTGCAAAAAATTTAAATTACTGAGACAATCTTTCTCATGGGCAGAGTTGCAAAAATCCTAAACAAAATATTAACAAAGTGAATCCAATGATATATATAAGTTGGATTCATTCCACAAATGCAATTGACATTTGAAAATGATGAATGTAATTCATCAACACAAACAGGCTAAAGAAGAAAATTCATATGATTATCTCAACAGGAAAAACATTTGATAAATAACAAGATTTATAAGAAACACACACACTCACTCTCTTTCAGCAAAGGAGGAATAGAAAGAAACTTCTTTAGTCTGATACCAAGTGATCTACAAAACAAATTTACAAGCTAACATCATACCTAACAGTGAAACTTTCAAAGTAATCTCTGGAAAGAGGAAAAAAGACAAGGATATCTTCTGTTACCACTTCTTTTCAACATTCTACTAGAAGTCCTAAACAGTGTAATAAGAGAAGAAAAGTTATAAAGGATTGGAAAGGAAGAAAGAAAATGACCATTATTCAAAGTCTGCATAATTACACAGTTAACTATTGAACAACACAAAGGTTAAAAGTGCTGACACCCCTTGCAGTCAAAAATTTGCATTTAACATTTGATTCCCACAAAACTTTACTAATCGTATTTAAGGGTTGGGTTAAGACTGGGATTTAAAGGTGGGGGCTTGGTTTTAGTTTGTTTTTTTAAAGCGAGAGTGAGCCGGAGGGAAGGGCAGAGAGTGAAAGAGAATCCTAAGCAGGCTCCATGCTCAGTACAGAGCACGACACCATGCTCAGTCTCACAACCCTGAAATCATGAGCTGAGCCAAAATCAAGAGTTACACATCTAATGGACTAACCCACCCAGGCACCCCATAGCCTATTGCTGACTGGAAACCTTACTGAAAAAATAACAATCGATCAACATGTACTTTGTATGCCATGTGTATCATATACTGTATTCTTACAATAAAGTTAGAGAAAGAAAAATATTAAGAAAATCACAAGGAAAATATATTTATAGGACTATACACACATTTATTGAAAAAAATTCCACAAATAAGTGGGCCTGCATAGTTCAAACCGCTGTTGTTCAAGAGTCAACTGTATATGTAAAAATATGAAAAATCTACTTTCTCAAAGTCTCAAGTCTCAAAGTCTCAAAGGATAAATCATTAACTTCTACAAATAAACTAATAAAATCCAGGGGCGCCTGGGTGGCTCAGTGGGTTAAAATCCAAAAGAATCTGCAGGTAAACAAGAGAATGAATAAAGCTGAGTATAAATAAATCTTATATAGCAATGAGAATGAATGTGTTACTACTACACACAACAACTTGAGTGACTCTCACAGAAAGTGGAGAACACACTGGAAAGCAAACTGGAGTCCTCCATGTATACATTAAAAAACAGGCAAATTAATCTCTAATGTTAAAACTCCTTGCCATTAGTGGCTACCTTTAGAGAGGAAGGAGAAAGTAATTTAGAAAGGACTGGAAGGGAGTTCAGGGGAATTTCTAGAGTCTGTAATATTTTTTACTTCTTGACCAGGGCAATAGTTGATAGGTGACTATAGTTGTGTTCACTTTACAGAAATTCATTGAGCCACATGCTTTTGATTTGTGCACTTGGACATACATACGTTATACCTTAAGTTTCAAAAACATTTACCAAAGTTTTTTCTAATCATATTCCACTGCTTAAAACATTTTAATGGTTTCCCATAACCTAAAAGTAAAAATCTAACCTGTTAGACATGGTATATGATATGGCTCCTACCTTTAACTTAATCCTTGCCTTTGTCCATCCCATAAATACACTTTATATTCTAACTTACCAAATTATTTACATCCCCAGTACATGCTGCTGCTTCAAACCTTCACGTCTTTATTTATTTATTATTATTATCATTTTTTTTAGCAATCTCCATACTCAACATGGGGCTTAAACTCACAACTCCAAGATCAAGAGTTGCACACTCCACAAACTAAGCCATCCAGGCACCACCCCCATCCAAATCTTTAAATATTATTTCCACTGTTTGAAAGTCTCTCCCTCTCTCTCACACTCAGCACATCCTGCCCCTGGAATTTCCACCCAACGTGGATATTAGCTCCTCCAAGACCCTTCCTATCTCTGCTCCCCAAAATTAACCGCTCTTTTTTCTATACTCAGTCATCTATTATCACACTTATCAACTTACAGCATTAATTGTTTATATGTCTGTCCATCCTCTATTGTATTCAAGTACAAGGTCTGTATTTTCAGGTTGCCAATGCCTAGCACAAGGCCTGGCATGTGGAAGCCATTCAATAAATGTCACCATTATGTATATATCCTTTTACATTAAGACAGTAAAGCCATCTAGGAGGAAGCCTAAGTTTTATAATTTTCTCCATAGTACAAGCCACAGCCATGAGCACACAACAGGTACACAACAGTGATGGTTTAGTTAGTGCCAAAATTCTGTTCCATAGAAAAAATATGCTCTTCAAACCATATGCACATAAGGTATTTATGTCCTACAAGAAGTGTAAAAAAGTCATCTTTCTTTTATACACACAGATTTCCAGAGTTTTGAGCTAAAGAAACCAATTAAGATCACCTTGTCAATAGCTTTAGGAAAAAACCTATAATACACTACACCCAGAGAAATTAAGTGGCTTTCTTAAGGTCAAGACTGAGGCCAGAAGGGCCAAAACTGGACTCAGATCCCCTGGCTTCTCATTTAATGCTTTCTCACAATCCATGCAGCCTCCCTTTTGTACTGTGTACTTCTCAAAGTAAGTGGTACAACTCCTCTACTACTTTGTTTATTTATTAGTTGTTTGGTTTTGGTTTTTTTTTGTTGTTGTTCTTCTACTTTAGATTAACATAATTAGTATCCTCACTGCCAAGATTTCTTTTTTAATTTCACTTCAAAATTTGGCTTTAGCACATGAATACTAAAAGTACCAACAAGTTCAACCAAGAAAACACCATTTCCAGTTCCAATATCAAGCACTGAAGCATCCAATGGAATCTTGCGGTTTTGCATCCACCTTATTAGCCGATCCATACTCTCTTCTCCAAACCTATTAGAAACAGAGAATCCGTTATTCAAAGACCAGAGGAATATAGAGCAAAGATTATAACTATATTCCATTTAAGCAGCTTATACAATATGCTCAATTAAGCCTTTTTCTGAAAGAAGATGTAGCATCTGTGGCTGCTTAAGCTTCACCTGTGCTATTACTGAAGAGCGTATGCTCCCAAGAATAGGACACAACAGATAAGGTCACTACGTTACATACTAACGTTTCACTACATCAGCATTAGCACTTGTATATGCTGATGGCTCAAAATGTTATTGCTCATTGAACAAGGATGATCACAGGATGATAGCAACTTCCTAACACAGGTTTCCCCCACTAACGGCAAGTAGAGCACTGCTATGAAATCTCTCCTAAGGCAAAATGGCACAAAGCAAAGAAGCAATGACCAATAATTTATGTGGTAGAATTTTTGAGCATTCCCAGACTCCAAAAATAACCTCTCTTAGGCCTGATACCACAAGACACGTCTTGCTACCACAGGCACAAAATAAATCAAGATAAAGCACAGCCGCTCGCAGACACTGTTCAAAGCTATGCTGGCCCTGCGCTGGGGTGCTGAGTGTTCCTGGGGAAGAAAGTTCCTGGGGAAAGAAGCTTGGCAGCATCACTCCTGCTGCTGGGATATGCACCGCCTCCCTAATGGCTCACTGAGAAACAAACAGTGAACGCTATTTTTGCTTTTCACCTTTCTTAGTACAAAAGAAAATCTTCCTACTTCTTTCAGTTAACAAAAACAGATACTAATATAAGTCTTTCATAAAAGCCAAGAGACATAATGTAAATTTTCAAAAAGCAGAGGATACCTATATTCTCATCAAATTTAGGTCTGGACCATTAAAAGAGAAAGAAGAGAGAGATTCTTTAAATCTACCTGCTAAAGCCAGAATCAGTCCAAGGTTCCCAGAACTTTCAGGTTGTCTTTATTTTCTTTGGGGGTAAGCACTTAAAAGACATACACACACACACTCTTCTGAATCATAATTCCGCTATTTTTTCTAACTCACCAGATTTCTCCTGTATCTCCATATTCTTGAAAAGTTTGCAGCTCTCTCTCATAGACAGCATCCCAACTATATAAATAATCAAATGCAAAGCAAGATTCTTGAATCAAACTGAATTACAATGTAAACTTTTCTAATACATTGTAGGTATTTATGACAGAAGTTTAAGACATTATCAGTATTTTCAGTAAGTGCACTAGATCAAGCTCCTAACATCCTTGTTAAAAGAATGAAAGACACAGACAAGCAGAGTAAGTTTACACATGTAAAGCACTAAGTACAATACTTGACGCAGAAAAATATTATATATTTTAGCGTAATAAAAAAAAAAAAAAACCCACACACCCACAAACAAGTATGTGTCCACGGATCCCTAAGTCCCAAACACGAGTCCAAAACTTCACTGCACAGGCACAGTGTCATCATAGCACATTTCAGTCTAAAACGTGCAGACACAAACATTTCCTACCAATACAGTGGTTCCTCACAAAGGAACTTAGCAAACACAAGCTCTGCCTAAAGATTAAACTGCACGTTTAACATTTACTCCTTGGAAGTCTAGTTTCCCCCTCCCCAACATTTGCCTTCTCTTCCCACTTCCCCTCTCCAGAATCGCTGCTCCCTCTCGGTCCTCCAACTCACCCTTCATCCGTACCTTTCCCCTGGCATTCGCTCACCCATCTATTATTTCGCCCATAAATACCGAACATCGATTTAAGGTCAGATCACTTTCTCCTCGCTCCCTCCTCAGGTCATCCTCCCAGCTCCCACATCCCTACCTCACCCCCTGCCCACCAGCCCTACGTCCCGGCCCCCTCGCCCTTTTCCCAAGCCTGCCCCTCCGGTTCCAGACCCCCCAACAAGGCCTCCCCCAAGAGCTTCGGAGGCCATTCCGCACCTCACGTGACCTTTACACGTCGGCTCCTTGAAGCGCCTCTTAACCACCCCCAGGGTTGCCCCTCGGGATTCCAGCCCACCAGTCCCCTCTTAGCTTCCTCGCGTCACCCCCCGCCCAAAGGTCCTCCCCATCTTCCGGGGCCCTCTTCCCCCTCTCCGTCCCCTGCCCGGGGCCCAACCACGGCGGCGCTGCTCTGGCTCCCTGCCCAATGCCATACTCACTGCTCTCGGGTCCCCAGCGCCGACGGGGCGAAGCCATCCTCTCCGGGACTGCCGCTCCGGGACGGCTCCGCGGCCCCAGCACCGCCGCCGCCGCCGCCGCCCGTGCCCGAGTTCATCCCGCTCCGCGCCCCGGAGGGCCGTTGGGGCCGCCATAGAGACGAGGCACAGGCAGAGCGGACTCGTGGGTGGGCGCCTCTAGGCGGCAGGAGGCCGCCCTCTCTATTACTCCTGGCCTCGGCTTCCTCAGCTGGTCTTTGGTGCCGAGTAGAGGTTTGCAACCCCAGGCGTGGTCGGCGGGGTCTCGCCTGCCTCTCTGGCCACTGCCGCCAGAGTCAGAGGCACCCCACTGCTGAGGTGCCCGCCTAAGCGCCGCTGCATTGGAGGACTGCTGTTTGTAAGGGACTGTGAGAAAGAGGTCCAAATGGAGTCAGTTTTGCTAAACCTGAGACTTAATATCCAACGTTAACTGCAGATTTGAGCCTGTTCCAGGAATGGAATTTTAAACCAATCAGTATGGAATTTTCCGGTGGGCATTAGTGAAGTAATCTGCCTGAGAAGACCCCAGCCTTCCCTTAAGGGAGAGTGACATTGCCAGAAACAATCCATTCTTTTTATTATTATTATTATTTTATTCAAGTATAGTTGACAACCTTACGTTAGTTTGGGATGTTGAAATAATCCATTCTTAATGTACTGGCCAACGAACGCCCTGCTTTTATTTTATTATTTTTTTTTTTAATTTATTTGACAGAGACACAACTAAAGAGGGGACAGAAGGAGGGGAAGTGGGAGAGGGAGAAGCAGGCTTCCCATGGAGCAGGGAGCCAATGTAGGGCTGGATCCCAGGACCCTGGAATCATGACCTGAGCCTAAGGCAGATGCTTTAGGACCGAGCCACCCAGGTGCCCCAACCCTCCCCACCCCCACCACCCCCAACCCCGTATCTGATGCCTATAAAAACCTTTCATTTTGTACAACTCCTCAGAGCTCCCTTCTACTTCATAGACTGGGTGTCATCTGCTTCATGATTCACTGAATAAGATCAATTAAATATTTAAGGTTACTCAGCTGCCTGGTGGCTCAGTCTGTTAATCCACTACTGACTCTTGATTTCTGCTCAGGTCATGATCTCAGGGTCAGGGGATGGAGCTGGGTGTTCGGGTCCATGCTCAACTCAGAGCTGGCTTGAGATTCTCTCTCGCCTTCTCTCTTTCTCTGCCTCCCCCACTTGCACATGCATTCTCTCATGCTCTCTCAATAAAGAAACAAACAAGATCTTAAAAAAAAAAAAAGTTACTCAGCTGCACCTTTCAAAAACAGGACTATTCAAGGTACTGCATTTTGGAAAAGGCTGGCAAAGGGAAAACCACACTACCTTAAGCCAACACTGCTGATTGCAAACACAAATCACCTCATGTATGCACGTCATGGTCAGATCTGGAAATTGGATGGGACAGTCCGCTGCTTTATTCGGCTTCCTGGTCAGAGATTTAATTTGTAGTTTGGATTCTCCCTTAAAAATAGCATTCTGCCCTCTCAGAACTTGACATTACTAGTGGACACGGGAATTTATGCCCAGAGAAATGACTGCCTTACGGCACCACCACACCACATCCTCCCCGTCCCCCACACCAAAGTACTCCAATCATGGGAATCAGAGTGTGTGGAGGAAAATGCTGGGAGTCAAGATGCTCGGATGCCTGTCTTAGTTCTGCCCCTAACCAGGCATCTTGACCTTGCCCAAGGCTCCTAACCTTTGTGTGCTTCAACTTCCTCACCTGCACCATGCCTAAGATAGATGGTGACTGGTTCTTACCAGGTTGCTCCCAAACCAGGAACCTGAAATTCATTTGCCTCTTGGTCTACCACTGGGAGTTCTATAGTATAATGTGAGAAATCTATGAGCCAAAGGTCAGGGGGGTTTCTGTAGCAGCCGTGAACTACTGACAGTCCAATGTCCTAGGCAAGGCTCTCAAAGGCCCCTAGGAAGGCTGCCTTCCAACCAAAAGGAATGTTTCCTAGGCCGCATTTCTGTTGACTCAGCAAACAGAAGTCCAATAAGTCCCTAGAGGTAAACAGCACCAACAGTTGACAGAAACCCCAGTGAGGACCGAATGTGCATCTTCTCCTAGACAAGATGTTCTAAGATGTTCCAGCAACCACTGGTGCTAGAATACAGTAAAAGACAGATGGGGATCCATGTGTATAGTGATTAAAGGACTCAAGAAATAACAGAAGTAACCTTATTATGGTGTAATAAAACCACCAAATGCCACAGCCAATTAGTGCTGCGCTGGGCAAATGGTTGTTTTGATCTTTTCCAGGCTCTAGATGTTAGAGAAAGCAAGCCTGAATGTGACCAAATCTTAAAAAGTTTTAGGTTCTAATTAAGAAGCACCCATGAAAGATAACGCCATCTTCAACCTGGTGTCCTGCCAACACTTAAGATGTTTCTGCTGTGTGTGATGAACGCTATAAACAGTTGTTGGTATGAAGCCCTGGAAAAACCCTCTGTTTATAAAGAGTTCCTGCTCTGGCTCCAGGATAACTCTGGCTGTTTAGTCCTGACGACTGTGTGGGGCACCACCTCTGATCACCCAGGGCAACAGGATTCTTAGTGGAGGGTGGAGAAGCTCAATCCGAGCAGAGCTGCCCATCACCAAAGAGAAGGTGGAATGTTCCAAGGAACACAGTCCTCTCACCAGGTGTCCATTACATAGGCGGGGTTGGGGGATGTGGGGGGAGCTCTTCGGATGCCCTGGGTTGCCTCGTCCCTCTCTCATGCTGCCAATCCCTGCAGCCCGGAACCCTGCTTACCTACAACTTCCCTGAAACAGTGCTTTCAAGAGTTCTCAGACACTTCGCATTTGGCAAACCGAGGGTCAAGTTCCAGGCTTTACCTTCCTGGATCCTCTGCAATGATCAACACCACCTAGGACGCCATTTTTGAAAACCCCTCCCTATTTTCCCAGCACCACCTGCTCTTAAGTGAGCCTTCTAAAACGGAGGTAGGCACAAGGCTGTAGAGTTGGACTCAGGTTTTGAGTCCTGACCCTATCATGTGGGACTACAGGCAAGTTCTGTCAGTTCTCAGGGCCTCAGTATGCCCATCCTTTCATAATAGTGCCCGTGGCATAGGGCCCCTGCAGAGATTAAATGAGAGAATTCCCGTGAACTCCTACGTGCCTGACCCATGGTAAACGCTCCATAAATGCTAGCACAGTTTCTTCGGTTATAAAACAGAGCTTATAATAGGTCTATTTGGAGCGTCTCAGTGGCTCAGTCAGCTAAGCGGCTGTCTTCAGCTCAGGTCATGATCCCAGGGTTCTGGGATCAAGCCCCATGTTCTGCTTCTCCCTCTCCCTCTGCCTGCCACTCCCCCTGCTTGTTCACACACAAACTCTCTCGCTCCCTCTGTCAAATAAATAAAATTGTTAAAAAATATAAAAATTTAAAAAATCAACAAAATGCATTTATTTCAGGGCATTGTTAATAAAACTGAATAAGGGCATAGAATGTACATCTAAAGAGCTTAGAACAGAGCCTGGCAGGTGGTCAGTGTTCGGTAAATGTTAGGTATTTTTCTTACTATTAATGACTTCCAGGTTCATCCTCTATCCCCAGCTCTAGGCTTTTACTGCTTTGGCCTAGATGTCCCTTGTTATGTGAAATTCAACCTGTTCAAAACTGAACTTTCTTGCACTGCCTTCTCCCCCAGCTCTGATGCCTCCAAACCCTGTCTTCCCTGTATTCTCCGTTCGTTTGACCCCTGACCATCCTACCATCAGCCAAAGCAGAGCATCACCCTTGTCTCGCCCTTCCTCCACCCCTCTGCACGCAGCTTCTCCTGGTCTCAGGGCTCAGGGACATTTTTGTCATTGTTCTGACTTCCCTTGGGCTTCTTCAGGCTCACAGCTCACTGGGGCCACCACAGCCCCTTCCCAGTAGACCTCCTTCAAACTATTCAGCTCTAGCCACCTTCTCTGTTCCCAGCTATCCTCTCTTCCCCTCTCTCCCTCTACAGAAGTCCCCAAAACCCAGCTGGGTTTTCTCACCTTCGATGCCTGACGCCACCCATTCCTTTCCTTTGTGTTCTCTTGCCTGATCACAGATTATGGAGTTAGCCATCTTGAACTTCAATCACAACTTTGTCCCTACCAGGTGTGACCTTGGGCAAAGCACTTACTTTAAACCCTAGTCAAGTTTCCTTGACTACCCAATGGGCATAATCCAAATGAAACTGGACTTTCTTGTTTCTACTTTCAGACCCATCGTGGCAGAGCGTGGCATTTGCCGGCATACACGTACTTGCAGAAATGCACTGTTTTGTTTTGATAAATATATAGAAATGGGATCTTACCATTTGCATTTTTTGTAAGTTGCATTTTCCATTAACAATATTGTGGCAGGACACCTGGGTAGCTCAGTCAGTTAAGTGTCTGCCTTTGGCTCAGGTCATGATCCCAGGGTCCTGGGACTAAGTCCCCCTAGAGATACACCAGGAAGTAAATCAAAGGTGAATCCCTGTCTCCATGCAGTTCAGCATATGCCAGTGGAGGAACAAAGGCAATATGCTGGAGAAATGAATAAGACAGAGATGATGTGAGGTGGTGATGACTGGGAAAAGGGAAGGGAAACAGGGGAGGAAGATTGAGATCATCAGGTGAGGGTTGCAGTCCGGTTAGGGTGATGAGGAAGGATTCTCTGACAGGGTGGCACCAAGAGGAAACCTACAAGAGGTCGTCATAGGTAGTATCCCCAGGGAAGCAGAGTCACTGAGATGAACATGAAAGAAGCTTATTAGGAAGTTCTCTCAGGCTCACCACCTACTGGGGAAGGGAAAGAAACAGAGCTGGATGGAGGAAGTGGTTGGGACCGGGTTATAGCTACAACAGCCCCTCAGCTAGCACTAGCATCCTTTCCCCCACAGAGCACTCTGGAACTGAGCTGACCCTTTGGAATTGCCCCAAGTTGAAAGGAAGGTGGTGGACCTTCATCCGTCTACACTGACAAGGCCTTGAATGTTGGTTGCCCAGGAAAAGGGCAATGACCTTAGGCAATGACACTTTGTTACACTGAGGGTAATTGCCAGAGAAAGCAAAGAATTTCTCCTGCAGCTA